GGGGGGCGTGTTAAGGCGTATATATCACAGTATTTGCGCAGGGCGGTGTCCAGAGCGGCATCGGGAGGCAGAGGTGGACTCGAGTCGGGGAGGACGGCAATTCGAACGTGTTTGAGTGTCCGATTGTGTATGCCGTGAAACGACTGGACAAATACCTTGGGTTGTCACGAAAGGCCCGTGTGGTGTCCTCAAATGGACTGCACAAGTAGTGGTCACGATCAACTCTGATGCTGAGCGATCACTATGCTGATAGTATACAGGCTTAGAAGAGCGCCAGTCAGAGCTGGACATTTCGGCCTGCCAGTTGAGCCTTGTAGGGCACCTTATCCATGCCCATCGGTCCTGAGTATGCAGCTGAAGCTGAGCTGAATATGAATGTTATGCTAGGTCTCTGTCCGATGTAGTAATGTTGCATCATGTAGGCTTTGTTACGTCGAATCTAGAAAGCATATGCTACTCACCCACTTGGGTCTGGCGACGTCTGACTCGAAATAAGCCGCCTCGACGAGTGTCGTGATCATCGCAGGTATGAAGCTGTGAGGTCGATCTGGCGCTTGCGTTATCCGGATTCGTAAAGTGTTGCCATCGAATCGATTCATGAGCAGAGGACATGCTCGGGATACCATGTTGTTTTCCACGTCCTGGGAAAGGGTTGTCGTATACTTGTCATTGTTGCTCGTAGTGGCCTGAAAACCGTTGCAACAGCCCTGACTTAGAATCTGACTTGCAGTCACGAATGCCAGTACAGTCGTAGATACAAGGGCCCCTTGCGGGAATGCAGCTCGTGCATGGTGCTACGAGGGTACTCAGTGCGTGGATGATCTGTCTGTGTTCGGGTTCTCGCCTGAGGGTCATCAGAGCCAGAACCCAGTGCGTGAGCTCCTGCGCAAGAGCCATCCCTGGATTTGAACGGTCACCGACGCACCCAACGGATCAAGCGAAGAGGGGAACGGCATATTCCGCGCGTTGTCCTATACCGTAGGTAGGCATATGTTGGTAATGCATCAGACGCGTCGTTGATGACTGGACCTTGTCAGCGTTTCAATTGACGGAAAACATGCTATGCCACAAAGACTCTAGCAATTCGAAATGTTTCTAAATTTGAAGCTCCCACGTGCCTCGGAGGTTTTGTTAGGCGATCACTGGCAATCAAATGCTTGGAGGGTGGATAAGTGGCAGTTTCAATAATGATTACCATCGAAGTTATGTAGAAAGCGGAGCCTTAGGCCATCAGATCTTCAAACACCCGCCAAAACGTGTATGAAGATGCATCAAGTCTGCCTCGCTGTGTAAAAGACGCCTTACCGTTCGGAGTGGGCGTCGACAAGATGAACACAAGTTCCCGGAGAAAAGGTTAATCCAGTTCCGGAAACTCAGCCTCAGGCTCAGCTAGTCGTACTCCAGTGTATCCGTACTCCGTACCCGTTATTCGGAAGTACATTGTTCGATAGACTGTTGTCCCGTATGCATCGGCAGGGACGGAAGCCATGGTATCATCGGTGGATGTGCTACAAGTGATCTCCATCACCGGATCAGGGACTGCCATCGTAGCATCAAAGTCATTTTGAGTCATTTTGAGTCCTTTCTCCTTTCATGCCATGGAGTCCGGATCTATGCAGGTCAGAATGCTCTTTTCTTAGGACTCGAGACAGGCGACATCAACAATGAATCCGGTCTCTGGTTCAGTGACACATACCGGGCTTTTTGTGTGATATCGGATACTGACGTACTGCGTACTCGGCTCTTGAGTATTACAGACCCTGAAACCGCGCCGGCAATGATTCACATGCCGTGCGCCAGATGTTCTAGACGGTTTCTCGAACACGTCGCACGAGATCATACTGACGACGTAGTGCATGAACGAGAAAGAAACAGACATGGGCACAGAGTGGCAGTCTGATACTCCGTACCATGACCACTTTCCTCGTCGAACACATAAGATGACTGCGCCTTGCATGTTTACACGAGATAGGAATAGGGCTTGGTTGTACCTGCACCTCTATTGGGCGAGATATGGCACCAAAGGCACTTGTGATAACCATGTTATGACGAACACGGTATGGCCTGATCTCCTTCAACCTCAGCACTAACACCTCTTCCACCTATCCTCTTCTTCAGCTGCAGGAAGCTAATGCACATCAACTGCAGCCTTATCATGCAAGCCACCACACTCTGTCGAATTTAGCACACCCAAGACCGGCATGAAGTTGCCTTCACTGCCCAGTGACAAATGCAACACAACGCCTCTTTTTCCAATCCGCCTTCTTGTTGGTCTGCAATCCCTGGACGGATCTTCGCAAATGGACCAGGGCCAGGGGCAATGCAGCAAGGATTCCCTTGGCTTCGCTGTTCCTAGGCCTGCCGAAGTAAGGTCCCGTTTCCATGAGAATCAAAAGTCCATTTTTCCGTCAGCCCTACGAGCGATTACCGGGGGGCTTGTGCCTCGATCGGGTCTCTAGTACCCTCGTGTCAGCCCCCAAATTTACCTCATCACATCGCTCTCAGGAACCTGAAAGAAACTACTCACCCAGACTTTTGGTAACGGTGGAGCCAGCGAGGTCGGAACCACATGCTACCTGCTACCTATCTTTGTCATACCTGACCTTCGAGAAGGATATATATCAATATCAGACCCCGAATGTTTGGGATGTTGATTCCTCCAGAACAAGACACTCCTTCAACAACAAACATTAGTATCTTAATCTTTCCTTTGCTCGCATTCCCTTATTTCGATTCAGCATTCGAGTTCAGCCAGCACTAGACTAAGGTATACAACCTCTTTTCCTTATTTCTATTTCTCTTTGCCTCGACAATCAGCAACCAGCTAGCCAGCAACAAGCCCAACCGGTCCCTACGACTTTTCCCATCTCTATCTCCTTATTTCCTTGTCTCCTTTGTCTTCATCCAACCTTCAACATTTATTTCCTTCAAGTTCTTAATCCAGCTCTTCTTTTTCAAATGGCCATCGGACGAGGCGGTTACAACACCCCTGCAGGCACTGTTCCTCAGAAAGGTCGCGGTGGATACAACAAACAAGGCCGAGGAGGATACAACAAGATGGCCATGATTCAAGGTCGAGGTGGATACAACCGACAACAAGCCGCCCAGGGCCGTGGCGGATACAATTGAGCGAGCCGCATCGCCATCCCCTCCGAAAAGCATGTGAACCGTTCTCATGTCTAATTGCACGTCTCTGACGACGATTTTGTGATCCTGGTTTGATCACAGTCTTCCATTCTTTTCTCGATAGCTCTGGAAGAGCACTCTTCTCGTCGATTCGATCATTTTAGCGGCATTCTCAGGAGTTCTGATTTCGACATTATTCTCGGACGCAAACAGCAGTCTTTCCAAGCATTTAGCGGCATCTTCAGGCTTTTTCCCTTTCGACTTCATTTTCCGACACAGAACCTATAGCAACAAAGAGTTTGGGATCAGCATGGTTTCTTTCAATTGATCAAGCAATTCAGCGGCATTTTCGGGGTACATCGGCTTTACTGCTCCGCGAGCATGAAAATTCGAGGTCCGTAGATTGCAAGGTCGCAAGGCGAACAGCATTTCCAGGAGTTTTTCTCGGGTCATGGGGCGATGAGGATCTTGGTCAAAGACATGGTGATCGGGTTAGATGTGAATTTCGTGGGCGTCGGCAATGTTTTTGGTTTTGAGAGAGCCTTGTCAAGGGTACAAGAGGCAGGACCTCCAATATAGGCCAACAGAACAAATCAAAGCAAATATTCATACTGCACCACATATTGTCGGATTGCGTAGTTTCAGCATCAAGAGTCTTCGGAATTCGAAACCATGGTAGAGAAAAAGCGAGATCGCAAGATAGCCAGACTTACTTCTCAAAAACCACTCCAAGCACATCTTCCACATCTCCGCCTTGGCCCTTTCCCGTGATTGTGGCCAAACAATCAGCTGCAAAGCGTAGATGCTCAGCGGCAGTCACGATGTCCACCTCGTCTTGTAGGGCATCGTTCGGACCAGCCAGATCTTCATGTCGGTCGACATAGGAGTCCGAAGCAGGAGCGATGGAATCAATCTGTGGCCGTGACTGATCGAGGAAATCATCAAGATGACCCAAGCATTGCCTCAGGTACGTGGTCTGACGGTGCGTGACAGATAGGGAGCTAGTCCAGTATGATTGCGCTTCGGCGGGAGCCATATTCTCGACATCTCCACTGGTGGCTGCTTCGGTAAGCTCGGCGAACACGTTTGTCAGCCTCCCAAGGAAAGCCTGGATTCCACCGACATCTGTTTGATTCAAGCTGCTCTCTGCGGCTTTGCAGGATACAGCGCAAATCCGAGTGGCAGGAATCATTGGGAAAGCCTCTTCAACTCGCATATGAAGGTTTTTGAGAACTTCTTCTCTCCGGCTCTCGTCTTTGAGGAGGTCGACCTTGTTCAGGACAATAAGGACCGTCTTGCCAACAGTGAGGCACTCTTGAACGGCATCGAAAACCTTTGTGTTGACAGGGACATCAAAAGTGCCCTCAGTCGTCTTCTCAATGGATAAAAGAGCTACTACAACATCAGACTGCAGCGCTCGCTCTCGTGCGCGACGTATGCCTTCTTGCTCGACCACACCAACCTGACTCTGGCCGACTCCAACAACGTCAGCACGCAATCCCGCCATGTCACCGAGACGACAGAGCCAGCCCTGCAGATCGATCGAGACATCAACGATGTCTCTCGTCGTTCCTTCTTCAGCACTCACGATGGCTGCCTCTCGACCAACGATACGGTTGAGCAAGGAACTCTTCCCAGCGTTTGGCGCTCCGAGCAACGCTATGCTGATACCATTGCGGAGTAATTCGCCTTTGGACGCATTCTGAAGATGAATTTCAACCTGTCTCTTTAGGGCCTCGACCTGTGTCGAGACCGAAGCCAGAAATTCCGCAGGCGACTCATCAAAGTGTTGGTCTTCGGAAAAGTCTATCAGGGCCTCGAGCTCTCCCCGAGCATAGAGTAGCAACAGTCGCCATTCTTCGTACCGTTTCGCCAGGCCTCCGTCCGAGCCATTGACAGCCAAGCGGCGCTGTTGTTCGGTCTCAGCCGCAAGAGTCTCGCCCAATGCTTCCGCCTGCGTGAGGTCAAGTCTTCCATTGTAGAATGCCCGTTTCGTAAACTCGCCTGGTTCGGCATGACGTATAACATTTCCGCTCTCTTGCAGGGACCGTCCGCATGCCGAGATGGCATCGAGGATTGAGCGAACGATGGCACGGCCGCCGTGAACGTGCAGTTCAAGCACATCTTCGCCGGTGACGGTGTTCGGGGCAGGGAAGTAGAGTACGAGGGCGCTGTTGTCGAGGACTTGAGATCGTGGCGTAGGTATGCCTTCGGGATCGTACAGCCTTCGCAGCGTGGCAGTGCGAGGTTTTGGTAGAGGCCGATCAGGACAGATTTTGCGATAGATGTCCAGGCATGCCGAGCCTGAAATGCGAACGACAGCTATCGCTGCGCGACCTGGTGCGGTAGACAACGCATAGATAGTCTCAGATGTCAACTGCTTTTCAGGTTGGGCATGCCAATTTCCCACTTGTGGCAGTACCGTCGATGATGCATATCGACATCGAGGGCTTGCAAGACCGGGTGCGGGAAATGCGCCGGAGGCTGCACGGACAAAGCACGGTCTAGAAACACATATTGCGGGATAGTTGGATAGAACCAAGCTCCTCGTGCCAAAGCGACATAGCATTCGAACGACAATGATAGCGTTGAAGATGTATGATCTTCGGGAGATGCTGTGAAACGGGAATTACTCGAGCAATGCAGGGCGATCACGTGCAAGCTTCTGAACCACTGCCACTTTAGGCGGTTTCTCTCTCTCTCTCTCTCTCTCTTAGTCTTCAGCCAAAGCTACATCTCCGTATCATGATATTTCGTACAGTGACGCCTGTGAATGGAGGGAATAGTGAAGGGGAGGAAGCGTCAGGGCTATTTTGATCATGATTCATTTTATATTACATACATTGAGAAACCGATCTTCGCCAGCCAGCCCAAATGCAAACTGACATCAACATCCGTAACACAACGCAATCTTTCGACAAACATCCCAACCACAACCAACCACCAACATGATGGTCCTTGACCACTTTGATGATCTCGTCGTGGGTATGCATTGATCTGCGGGACGATAGTAAATACAAGCAGGGCGTAGCGCTTGATCAAGCACTAGTTCCTGTAAGACGTTAGCAATTCGCTTTCGTGAATGCGGGCGTACGTACAATAAGCCGAGAGTCAAGTCACCATGGATCTTGGCCTTGAGTTGGACTTCGATGTCAAGGTTGAGGTCAAGCCGTAATCGTAGTTGCTCATTTTCACCTTCATCTTTCTCTTCTTCTCCCTCCTGGCCACCCTTTTTGTTGCTAAGCAGGCCGCCGAGAGCCTCGTGAGGCTTGCTGAGGGCCTTTCCAGCGGTGTTGTTCACCAGGTCACCGGCACCATCAGCGACACCGTTGACAGTCTCGCCAACCTCGTCAACGGCGTCCAGAGGCCCACCGCCTCCGCCGAGAAGGCCGCCGTCCTTGTCCTGTGACTGTGCTTGTGATTGTGCCTGGGCCTTCCCTCGGTTGCGGTTTCTGTTTCTTTTCGCACCCTTCTGTGACACATCGCTTCGGTAGGCACTGTCGGTGTCACTGGGTGGTTGACTTGATCCTCGACCGCGACCTCGGCTGGCCTGTCGTGACTTGGAGCGTGATTGTTGTTCCATCTTGGGTTGAGGTGCAGGTGTTGAAGGCGGTTCGTCGTCCCCGCCGGCGTTTGTTTCAGTGTCGGCTTCGTCCTTCTGTGGTGTGCCGTTCGCTGAGCTTTTCTGGCCAAGCTTCTTGGGTTTCCGTTTCTCTTCGGACTTTTTGGAATTGGCAGATGCTCCTATGCTCCCGGCGCCTGAAGCAGAACCAGCAGCGTCAAGGTTTCCGCCGATGTTAGTCTCTTCAGTTGATTTGGTCTCTTGCTCAGCAGACATGGTGAGAAGCGGGAAGGAAGATGTAGAGACGGGTGAAGAAGAGTATGCGGTAGAGAACTCGACGTAAGATGACCAGGTTCTATTGTCCCGAATGGAAAGGAAAGTAGGCAATGCAGGACGTAGAAGATCACATCCACATCGACGTCAGGGTAGGAGATCCTGAGTCCTGACCAGCGATCCTTGAAGACTTACATGAGGATCGGGTATGGACGCGCAAGTACCATGACGTCGAGTGTCGCTGCTTTTTGAGGCAGATCAGACATGAAACGCCACAGATCAAGATGTAGAGGGAAAATTCATCCCAAAAAGCAGGATGAGAAAGTTGGCCAAACCAATTGCAGCGAAACGGGCTGAAAGAGCTTGCAGATGTGGCTGCATTGACAAGGGTGAGGGCAGGAAAAAGGATCAGCAAGTGGCTGGACAGCTGGCGGAGGCGGGCAGAGGTCATCGTCGATGTTGATCAGCGGACATGGAGCAAGTCTGTAGCGGACGAACAAGGATGGTGGATGGATGTCGAATAACGGCCCCCTTGGGTTGGTGAGGCGGCTCCTTGGTACGTACTTTGTACCTCCTCCACCTCCTTCTGGGTGCCTCTCACTTCGGCTGGTTGCATTGATTTTATGGTCCATCGGCTCGTTGCAGAATTGTTTGTTCGGACCACCGAAGTACTTCTTGTGCCACCGTGAAGTCACAAAGTACCATGTGCTCACATACAATACACTTTCGAAGACTCCAAACAGCAGAGAAAGGGTACAATAGTGGACTCTGTCAACCACGTTCCCGCCTGCGTCATGGCTTTCTGGGCCCTCAACGCGTCATCCCAGACTATAGACTAGTGTGTACGAAGACCTGCCACCTGCCTGCCGCCACAACCGTCAGGCTTGACGACGCCACGAATCCGGGGCACCGAGCATGGAAACCATCTCGATTGTCAAATCACCGAGTGCAGAGAACCATGTCAAGGTCTCCATCTCCTTGCAGCTACCGACAAGGATGTTTCCAACTTCCGAACAAACGAACCCCGGCTGTCGCCAAAAGTCTTGCTCCGACAAGCGATCGAGGTTGACGATCTCCATCCTTTGACGTTCATCATCACGCCGCTTCAACGAGCAAAAGAGGTACGCTGTTTTCATGAATCAAGTTCGCTGAAGAATGGACCCCTGGCCCTGGCACGATGATGTCGTAGTTGTAAGCCTCCTCTACAGATCGCCTTCCCAGCCATGTATTCCCTTCAGTCCTAAGGTTCGCGGAGTTTTGTCTTGGTTACTGCCACCAGCTCCTTCCGACTTCAATTCCTCGATAGCCTTTCGAAGCTGTGACTGCTAACAAACAAACCTTCCCCTTCTATCACCGTCGTTCCTTCCGAGCAGTGTGGTGGCCATCATGTCTGAGCCGCAGCAAACACCCACGCCCGAAAAGACTCCCGGCGAGAAAAAGCCCAGCCGCCCAGGGCTTGATCGAAGCAATTCCGATATCTCCTCGGCCGACGACCAAGGCTACGAGTCACGATCCAGATCACAATCCCGCCGAAGGAGAAGACAGAACCAACGACAACGACAAGGCGGGCAAGCCAAAGCCCAGGCTGGAAATGCCTCCGCTCAGTCGATGGCCTCGATCGACGAGGCCGACGAACCGCAGCAACAGCAACAAGTAGCCCAACGGTCGCAGCAGCAGCGACAGCCACAGCTTAAGAACCCCGACCCGCGCGACATCACCGAGTCTCAGCCCTTTGAGTATATCAAACCCCCTTCTCAGTCTATGGATGGACCTGTCACGTACGCTCGCATGCTGCGTGGTGAGATCCCATGGCGAGGCCCACCGCCCTCACAACCACTCGAGACAGCACAGGACATCGACTCTAAAGATAGCAGTGGCAAGGACCCCATGGACCAAGACGGACTGAAGCTGCGGTTGGAATTGAATCTAGATATTGAAATCGAACTCAAGGCCCACATACACGGTGACTTGACGCTGGCACTATTGTAAGTTGAATGTGTCCCGAAATCCCATTGTCTAACACCGGTCTAAACGCTAACCATAGAAATTGATCTTCAGGGCTTGATTTGGGCCTGCCAAAAGTCAAGTTGCCCAAACTACCAAAACTACCGAAACTACCAAAGCTGCCGAAACCCGGGCTGTGATGACGGACAAGAACTCATTAATGTATCCTTTTATTTGTGGTGTGAGCTAGCTAGCACCTTGTTTGATATCAAAGCTTCAATTGAAGTCAGCAGTCTGAACCACGGCGTTGGGAAGAGGCACATGTCATGGCTCTGCTTGTAACTCTAAAAATGTCATCCCTAGAACAGTCGTGTCGCCATTCCCTAGTTGCTGTCAGTTGTGCTGTTCTCCGTGACCTTTGCTCTTGGTCTTCGGGCTTTGCGAACCATCGTCTGCAGGCTCATCGTGAATGGCGGAATCATACTGCCCAAGCTCGCCTCTGGCACGCTTCACCACTCGCTCGATGCCATCCAGGCCCATTTTGAGAGCTTCCATCTTCGGTCCGTAGCTGATTCTGACGAAGTGGTGACAAGGACTGTCGAATAGGTCTCTTCTCTTCGCTGGATTCAGATCAAAGAAAATTCCTGGCACGCACATCACTTTCTCTTGCAGAAGAGCTTCGAAGAACGATAAGCCGTTCGAGAGATCAATGGCACTTCCTTTGGCCAACGGTGGGTCCAACGTAGTGAGGTCCAGCCAAATGTAGAACGTGCTGTCCGGGACAGCTTGATCGCCCGCATTGAAGCCGATCTCTCTCAGTCGTTTGAGAACATAGTCACGCTTCATCTTGAAGTGTCGCTGAAGAGCTTGCATTTCCTGCTTGACCTTGGCTGGCTCCAGCATGGACACAGCAGCTTCCTGGAACGGAACATTGGTGCCTCCATCGAGATAACTGCCCGACGATCCCAGTGCCTTGATGAACTCTTTAGGACCGACAATCCAGGCGACACGCCAGCCAGGAAGCCGGAACCGCTTGGTAAGCCCATCGATGATGATGACGTCGTCCTGGTCGACATCAATGACATTCGTGGCAGCAGAGATGGTGCTCCCATCACAGTCAGTGCTATAAGAGTACCCGGCGTAGAATTCGTCGAAGATCAAAGTGGCTCGATCACGGCAAATATCTTGGATCAGTGCCAACTCATCAGGATGCAAGGCGTGTCCAGTAGGATTGCGTGGATTCGAGGTCAAAATGACAGACGTTCCGCGAGCCAACTCTTCTGCGATCTTGTCCACATGAATGTGATATCCATCAGCGGCCGACAAGGGGGATGGGATAGCCACAAAGTTTCGAAACAAACTCAGCATCTGTGCAATTGTGATGAGTAAAGTGTCCACCAGCCATTGCTATTGTGACATACCTCGTTGTAGGCCGTGTAGTCCGGGATGAAGAAGCCGAGGTAGGCATTGCCTAAGACAGCAGCAATGCGTATGAGACCAGCTCGTCCTCCAGGTACTATGCAGACATTCTCCCACGTATACTGCGAGTCTTTGCCCTTGCGATAGTCGTCATTGTAGAGGTTCGCGACCGCAGCTCGTAGCGACTTGATACCTGCTGTAGGTCCGTATTCTCGTCCGGCAGAGGAGATTGGGATGGAGTCGGGGCGTTCAAAGCAGCCTTCAATGTGGTCGACTTCAGGTGCGCCTTGACCTAGGTTGGCCCATTTCTCAGGTTCGTCGAGGTAACCGTGCTTCGAAGCCTGTTCGGTGACCCTGAACCAATGTGTCAGTAGGTGTGTCTGGGAAGCATCCTGGAGGGCAGATACCATATCACTCCAGTACTCGCACGATTAGGGTCGAGACCGGCATGAACACGGTGGGATTGGTGGGCTCTTAGATTCTGGTGACTGCTCGAGCTTCGCTCATCTTCAGCGTAGAGTGAGAATCGACGTCCATCTGCGCTGGTATGCAAGTTGGACCTCAGAGTCGAGACTCGGCGTCCCGAGGCTGAAGAACTCATGGTGCCAGATAACAGTGGGCTCGTTTAACTAGAACCGCTTGGCCAGGCCAAAGACAAGCCGAGGATTGGAGGTTGATGGTGGGTGATGGTGGGGAGCAACTTGTGGAATCAATAGATGGTGGAAAACACATCCATGAATTCAATACTGATTCACAGCGTCGGTCTGTGCAAGGTCAGGCTCGAAAGGTCACACCGCATTTTCTAGGTACTGTTTCTTCTGATCGTGGTGAAGAGGAAAACTTTCATCCTGACGTTGCTGCTCACTCATCAGGTTTGGATCCCTCCCAAAGCAGTTTCATTGAACCTGATTCTTGGACTGACTTTCCGCGACCCAATGAGGGCTGCAAGGACCAATTCCTTCACAGAACCCTGATACTTAGGAATCTCCATGCGAAAGGAGCTCGATGTACTTTGATATCTGCTATGATCTGATCTGGCGCGTTCGATCTCAACCCGTAGCCATCACAGGGCGCAGGGTTGACTTCTTGTTCGCGCCGAAGGCTTGAGCCATGATATAAGTAAATCGGACTTATCCACCTGGGATTCAAACTCTCGTTCAGGCGCCTTCTATGCCTTTTTAGAAGAATATCGTTGTGTTAAGACTGACAGAATCCATCATGGGCTCGCTATCAGAATCAAATAGTCAGACTCTTGAAGCCGCCTTATCACAGGCTCACGAAGTCTACACCCAGAAACACCCAGCATGTCGCAAGAATTATCACGAAGCATGCAAATACATGCCCGGCGGCAATACCAGAACAGTCCTGTTTGCTAATCCATTCCCTCTGACCATTGACTCAGGCGAGTCGTGCCATCTAACAACCATCGACGGCACACGCTACGTCGACTTTCTGGGCGAATACACAGCTGCCATCTACGGGCACAATCATCCTGAGATCAAGGCTGCGGTACAGAAAGCTCTGGACGGTGGCTGGAATTATGGTGCTCACAACAAGCTGGAGCCAGAGCTGGCGAGACTGGTTTGTGAACGCTTTCCTGCCATCGAACTCGTCCGTTTCGTCAATTCCGGAACGGAGGCCAACATGATGGCGATCGCTACGGCGATGGCTCTCACCGGCAGGAAGAAGACCTTGATCTTCAAGAAGGGATATCATGGCTCCACGATATCCGGTAAAGTCGCAACCGGCAAGCCGACCATCAATTTGCCCCATGACTTCGTGCTGGGCTCATACAACGATGTCCAAGGCACTGAAGAACTGATACATTCACTCCCCAAGGACAGTTTAGCTGCTATCCTGGTCGAACCTATGCTAGGCAGTGGCGGATGTTTCGCAGGCACATCAGAGTTCCTGACCTCACTCCGGCGCCTTGCCGATGAGACCGGAGCTCTCCTCATCTTCGACGAAGTCATGACAAGTCGTCTCGATTATCACGGCCTAGGCTCGAAGATGGGCATCACTCCAGACCTGATGACCCTCGGAAAATACATCGGCGGGGGAATGAGCTTCGGTGCCTTTGGTGGAAGAAAGGAAATCATGCAGCTATACGACCCTAGAACCGGATCCCTCGAGCACCCCGGAACATTCAACAACAATGTTTTCACAATGAGTGCGGGTATTGCCGGTTGCAATCTGTTGACTCGGGAAAAACTCGACGCTCTAAACGGTCTGGGAGATTCGCTCCGTCAACAAGTCGAAGCAGTACTATCCAGACGAGGCATCCAAGGCACAGTACCAGTGAGTCCGCTTGCAGATGATATGCAATCAGCACAACACCCTCAGCGACCACCCAAGATGTTCATCAAGGGAGTGGGCAGCCTTAATGCTGTTCATTTTGCTGGTCCGGACAAAGATGTCTTGCAGAACCTGTTCTTCCATCATATGCTTCAGAACGAGATGTACATGGCTCAACGGGGCTTCATTGCTTTGAACATCATGCTGACCGAGGAACACGTGGCACAATTTGTTCAGGCCACGGAGGCTTTCTGTGATAGGTTTGACTCCTTCTTGCGATGGTGATCGCCTGGGCACAAAATGGTAAATACAGGGCTGTGAATTTGGATGAGTCTTGTGACATTTGTGTACATGCAAGTGTTGACCGCCTACTTTTGAGAGAGACTGAAATACAAGCTGTAACCTTTTGCTATTCTTTATAAGACATGCCCACTCGTCCCCGTCATCACTAGACACCTCTTGCCCATGCTCACGGCGGATTCCAGTGTGTCAAGCAGGGCAGAAATTACGACAAGGGGCAAACAGCCTTGTTTGTCTTTCTGCATCGAGATGATAATTCGTTGTGAGGACGTATATCACCCTTTGGTCCTTTCCGTTTGCTCATAGCCTCGTCTAGTCACGTCTTGTCTTTCATGATGCGTGAAAAGGCCAATAGCCAGGCGCGTTTGCCGCGCCGATTGATTCAACGCACCACAGTAGCAGGACTATATGAGTGATGTCGCCCTGTCGCATGGCATGGCGTTTACGCTCCTCAGGAGCTAGGCATATCTGCTCCAAAATTGCAATTCCTTTCCCGCCGCATCTTCAAACATCACCAGCGTCGCAAGACTTCATCAAGCACGCATACAACCATCTTGAGGCCAAGTTCCAGCTTTAAACAAGCCAAATTCACAATGGGCAGATCGGTGTCCTCTACCACATGTACAACATTCGAGCAGGTGATCGCCTTCGCAAATTGCGTCGTCTGGCTGGTTGCTGCCTACGCGCTTTACGCTCGCTGGCAGGAGAAGAAATACCTCGCAGAAGTTGATGCCGCTCAAGCGCGATGGGCCGCCGCAATTGAGCGCCGAAATATCCTCATGGAAGAGCGGACGAGACGACAATTGGCTCTTGAGGAACAAGAATACGAGAAGGACGAGGAGTTGAGGAAGATGCTCTGGGAGCGTGAGCGGTTGCCTGATGACGCTGACGATTTGTGGTGATGACGCCGTGGAATTTGTCGAAGTCGTGGAGATGAGATCGTCGAGATAGTATACAGGCTGCCGTCGCTGACAACTACTCCAGGAATGCCTCCTGGAGTTGTGGCTCGTCTCGTGCTCAGGTGAGAAACTTGGTGGAATCTCGTTGGAGACTGCCAGAGCGGCAATAGCCCAGCAATCAGCAGCGTGTCCACAAACCTCCTCAGCACTGGAAGTGTGAGGCTGATAGTGTCATCGCCACCAAGATCCACTGCTCTTCTTCTCCTGCTTCTCCTTTGACTGTGCTGCGAGTTTCTTCTCCATCTCTATGCGTTCCTTCTCCTCCTGTTTCCTCGTCATCTCGATAACTTCGACCCTCCTCTTCTCGACGGCGGCGAGCTCCTCCTCTTTCTTCTGCCGCCTCTCAAGTATGCCAGCAAACCACTCCTCCCGAGCGGCGTCTTCTTCCGCTTTCGTGGCGAACTGGATCATGCAGCTATTCATTGCGCGGTGCTGGGCTCGGCAGGTCCATGCTACGCTAAAGGTTCGTCCGCGTGCGCAGTCAGCAAATTCTAGAGGGACCAGAGCCGTTAGAAACGAGAATCATATGCCTTCGTGGTCCCACCAGAAGGTCTAGCAGAAACACTCGTCTACTCACCTTTGATTTCGTCTGCACATCTTGCCCGAACGCGTGCGTAGTATACTTTCCGTACTTCAGCTTCCTGCGACGCAGAGAGTGGCAGCGGATTAGAGAGGTTGTTTTTTGACCTGTTTGTCGTTGAAAGCTGAGGATCGGGGATGATCGGCGGAGCCATGTCCATCCTTTACACTAGAGCGGCCGTGGCTTTTCGATACAGCTTCTCCAGGAATCAAGGACAGTTCATCATTCCCAAAGCTTGAAATGGAGGTCAGCGTGATCGACTTGGGTCGTAGGTAGTCACTGAGCTGTGAGGTGGAAAAGCAACTGTTCGATCAATGATGTGGAGAACCAGACTGCGGACTTTCTACGGAACCAGCAACTTTCTCCGTCTCGAACTTTTGCGCATCAACAACATTTTTCTGGTCCGCCATTACGGAGTATCTCAGCCACTTTTACGCTTGACTCTTAACAGTAGCTCAGTCTGATACTTCGAAACCTTTGCTTCCTGCTTGATCCGCGACAATGTCATCAATGCGCAACGCCGTCGCGCGGCGGCCGCACCGCGAACGAGCCCAGCCTGCGTCGCGCGAGAAATGGGGCATCCTTGAAAAACATAAGGACTATTCGCTACGAGCGAAGGACTACAACGTCAAGAAGAAGAAACTTGCACAACTGTCTCAGAAAGCACGAGAGAAGAACCCGGATGAGTTCGCCTTTGGCATGCTGAGCCAGGGCAAGGCCGGCTTGGGGAAACACAAGCCTTCGACGAAAGATGGCGTCCCGACAGGCCCTTTGAGTCACGACGCGGTGAAGTTGTTGAAAACGCAGGATGCGGGATATCTGAGGACGGTTGCGGCGAAGGGTAGAAAAGAGATCGAGAGAGTCAAGCAAGAGGTGGGCTTGGACTCAGTCACACTGAGTGCGAAGGCTGGGTCGCACAAGAGGTTTGCAGACCAGGACACTGGGTTGAACAGAAGCAAGAAGCGAATGGCGAGTGGCGAAGTCTTGGAGAGTGCGTACGACATTGCGGCAAGTACTATGGCGGAGGTGGCGGCGACGGAGGCCGTGCTGATACAAGAGCTGGGAGACCAAGAGAACGAGCCAGACATGGAGAAGCCGAAGCCAAAGTCCAAGAAAGCGCTTCTGGCGGAGCAGGATGCATCAGCCCGTCTACGTACGGAGCGCAAGAAGAGGAAGCGGTTACAAGAGATGAGAGTTGCAAAGCTGGAAGCATTAAAGAAACGACAGCGGGAGATACTGGCAGCGGCCGACCAATTGGAGCTCCAACGTGCAAAGATGGCGAGAACGGTCGGAGGGGTCAACAAGAACGGCGTCAAGTTCAAGATTCGAGAGCGGAAGAAGTAAGGCAGCAAGACCACAGAACTAGCAATGAGCCAGGATTGACGACTCTCTTTGAATGTTCCAAAGGGTCTATTCTTCCGCAACGGCTCGACCGCGCCCCATCTCCGACATGAAGGGTTTCCCAACTCACTGCCAAAGTTCACACGCCAGCAGAGACAGCTTTGAGAATGACTTTGCTGAAATCGGGCTCCTTGCCTAGTAGGAATCCCATCCCCTCGACTTGTTCTTTTCGAAATTTCTCGCTGGCCTTCAAGAACGGGAAGAAGCCCCAGTGACCATGGGGCAAGCCTGGATACAGGTTCATCTTGGTTTCAATCCCGTTGTCTTCCCGAAGGACTCGTTCAAAGATGATTGCCTCATCTCTCAGCGGGTCCATCCCATCGATTTGGAAGAAAGTGGGAGGCAAGTTTGCATGGCCCTTGGGGTGATTAAATACAGCATACCAGACTCCATCGTCATTGTCGGGTTGGTAGCCTTGCATAAACATGTCAATCGCTGCCTTGGGAAGGACGGGTGCATTCTTGTTCTGCTCGTACGACAGGAAGTATTTCTTATACCGCTCTGGTACTTTGGTGTCCGGCAAAACGGCTGGAATGGCCAAGTATTGACCAGTCAACGGCGGTGACAGACCCTCATCTCGGGCGACATGGGCCAGGACAGCCGTGATGTTTCCGCCGGCAGATGTCCCCCCAATGACGAATCCAACAGAGGGATCAGCACCCCAGGATTTGGCGTTTTCAGCTGCCCACTTCAAGCAGTCCCAAGCATCCTTGGGAGCATATGGGAATTTGAATTCAGGTGCTAGGCGATAGGTAGCTGAAAGGCAAACGGCGCCAAAAGCCTGGACGAAATTTCGACAGCTCTGCTCCTCGCCTTCAGGAGCTCCGATGCAGAAGCCGCCACCATGATACATGACAATTAGCGGACTGCCTTCCTTAGGTGGGTTAGTAGGCTGGTATAGCTTTGCACGGATCTTGGAGCCATCGCTCGTCGGGTACTGGACTTCGGTCTGCTTGACTTCTGGCGGAGGTTGGCCTAAGGCTTCGATTGCTGCGGCATTGCGCTTGTCGACCATGGCTTTGAAATCGTCCAGATTGTCATAGTTGATAGGAGGTAAATTGGCCTTCTCGAGGAACTGGAGGGAATGTCAGATTTGACATTGACCAAGAACAACGCGAGGAATTACATCTTTGAGCTCCGGGTCTATCTCCCCAAGGGCAAGAAGGGACTTTTCGTCGAGATAGGACGACATCATGGACAGCGTCTACGCAGAGTGTGCCGAATCTCCCAGGAGATCAAGCGGTAATGCCTGGATCTGATTGTTGAACAAATTACGGAGTATGACGGCCTTTTATACCCTTGGGACTGGTAAGCAGAGTGGATTGAGTTCTATTCTGTGCCAAAGACAAAAGTGCCGCATCAGACGGCCTGACGGTACGTGTCCTTCATGCACCACCTCCATCTCTACTACTTGTGGGTGACTGTGGGGTTCAGCGAACTGGCCCTTTGGATTCGGTAGCAACAATTACTCCGGAGTCGGGACATCTGCTCAAAGGCATATCTGCAGAAAATGGTACGAGTCTGACTAGAAATTCCCCTGCTTCTGACTCGCTGAATCATGTAGAAAGCTGAAGGTCGCTACTGTCAGACAGGAATTTTCCCTTTTACCCGCGGGTTCTAGGTGAGGTTTGGAACCTCGGCAACTGGCGAGCTGGTAGATGTTTCGGTTCGAATTGAGAGATACGACGTGTGGACGTGTGGACGTGTGGACGTGCTCTATTCAGAAGATGGTTAAAACGGACATGACAATGGCCTTGCAAAGGATGACGACTTTCGCCAACTCATTGCCAGCGTCCAAGCATTGGGCTGGCCTTGGTCGCCGTCAGCACCGATAGAAGAATCCTTGCCACTTTGTTATTGCTCCTGAACCACCCACCTTCTTCTCCATACTGGGTAGTACGAGCATTCCCTTCCGGCTCATGATCAGACGCTCCCTTCCCGGAAAAGACCAGGCGCAGGGTCAAAGATAGACGTGCAGTATCAGCGACAGCACCACCCCATGATCGGAGAGTTTGTAACAGATCAAGACCAGTGTTTGATGGCTGCATGCCACATCTTCGTCTGTTTCCTCCCTAAACCATATGCGGTTTGCTGAAACACGCAGTGGAGAAGCTTTTCCACTCTCACATGGCAGACTCGTCGCTTGACGTGGTATGATCTGCAATGGAAGCTGTGCTTTCTTCCTTCGTGGGGAACTTGAATTGAGAGGAGCCGCCAGCAGATGGCCCAGTGTCCGACTCATGTGTATGACTTTGAATACTGTTAGTGCACGGAGTACCCCTTTCAAAATCCAAAGACCCGATGGAGATAGCCGGGTGCTGTATCCGTACATCTAAATCACAACTTTGCCGGCATCTTGAGTCCCCGAAAGGCCACTGGACGTCTAGCATGGGGCAGCTAGGATATAACCAGTAAGCCTTGGTCATTCGCCCAAAGGTCAAACTCTCGGGGAAGGAAATGGTCATGTAAGATGGTGGAAAGGCACCCGGTTAGACAAAACTCTACCGACCGCTGGGGCTCTGATGAAGTGTTTGATCATGCCCGGATAGGCCGAGCAGTATTCTTATGGGGCTCCGGTGGGCTCTTTTGGTGAGCAACAGCATGTTGGCTGCGACATGATGGTGGCGGCGCCATCCACGCGGGAACGGATGAAGGATGCGCTGGAGCGTTCGAAATGTTTTCCACACAGACGGCTACAGGGGTCTGGCATTAGCGCGCGACAAGTATTTTGATCGGTGATGAGGATGAGAGGAGATGTGCTGGATGAAGTCGAAGTTGAGAGCAAGCATGAAGGGAATCAGGCTTGAACTACGATAATGGTTGAGGAAGAGGAGGACCCTGTATCACAGTCGTGAACTTGTTTTAACAGGAGGTGGAAGCGGAAAAGCAGAAGATTCATGTCAAGCGAAGAGGCAGACCGTCTTCTGCAGGGCCAAGTTGTATCAAGCCTGGTGAGCCCATGGTGCCCATCGAGCCCATGTCAAAAAAGCCCCCGAACCAGTCTCCAGCGAGTAGTTCGCCCCCGTTAGATCCTCGACTTCGGTGCCGCCCACCGCTGTGTGTTTCTGTGGTCGCAGCTTCAACTACCACACTACCTACCAATCCATCCCATTTCCTGTTCTCTCCCTCCTAAGGGTTGACGAACATACAAATCACCCTGTGTCTACACCATCGTCGCTATCCATTGGCTTACTCGTCGTCCGTACTATCAAGTTTGAGAAGATTCCTTTGGGGGCTGTCCTCTCATAGTCCACCTGCTCGCGCTCTCATCCCTCGCTTCATTCCATTGATTGGCTCCCTTTGCATCACTTCGACCAACCATACATCTTCTCTGCGAGACCAGACACAACCTCGTCCGCGATCAGGTCCAACAATAGTAACCACAGGCCGCATCGGACAGCCTTGCATCGTCCCTCCCTTACCTCTCGTTATCGCCGCCGCCTATCTGGCCGTGGAACCTGGGGAAAAGAATTGTCAATCTATGCTGTTGTGGTACGCCTGTTCCATGGTCTCCTTACTTTGCTGCCCATCCCACGTCCTACGAGGACAACTCTGTTCCTCAAATCCTCCTGGTTGACCTGACACCTGTGTCTTAGATATCTGTCTTTGTTGCCTACCTGCGCTGGTCCGCTCTTTGACGCTCCTTGAACTGCCCAACAACTCTCCTACGATCCTTACCGAATTCTGTACGCGTCGCATACGAATCCTTTGCGCTTCGTCCTAATACGAAAAAACCCTGTCCGATCGCATTCGGCACAGGCTTGCCTTTACTCATGCGCTGATAATCCTCTCCTCCACCTGTCAATCCACCATCTGCTTTCGGCGCGTATCGAAAACCCTGAGACGGCTATGCTCGCATCTCCCCCCACAATGAACGGTGATCATGGACCTATCTTGGATCGGAACAACATCATCAATGTAAGAGATGGAGAATCGCTCTACCAAATATGCATCAAACTGCGCCGCCGGTTATCGGGGGTCCCCGGTTTTCGCCCATACTTGGAGGAGATGGAGGAGCGCGAAGCCGAGGGTTCTGATCCGGTTTCCTCGTTGTGGCAATGCTTCCGAAGCGGCCTGCCGTTGCTGACCATATACAATGCCTCAAATCCCGAAGAAGGCGACCTACGAGTGGACACGAAGCGACCAGAAAGAATAGGAAAAGAAGCCGCGTTTCTATTCATCAAAGCATGCATGCAACAGATGGAGATCCCGGCAGCTGACACCTTCACCGTCACGGACTTGTACAGCGATAACACTACCGGTTTCGTAAAAGTCACAAAGTTGATCAATCGGGTCCTTGATATCCTGAGATTGAGTGGGAAATTGCATCCTTCGACGGACAGTGAAGATTCGCGGGATGGTACAGACACCGGCTCAAATGCGCCCGATCAAGTACCAAAAACCCTAACGCGCAGACAACACATCCTGAAGGAACTGGTTGAGACGGAGAGGCAGTATGTCCACCATCTACAGAATTTGCAGGCGCTGAAGAAGGAACTGGAAGAGGTGGGTGCATTGACAGGCGATGCAATCCATAATATTTTCCTGAATCTGAACAATCTGCTCGACTTCGCGCAGCGATTTTTGATTCGGATTGAGCAACAGAATGAGACTCCTGCCGAGCAACAAAACTGGGGCAGACTCTTCGTCCACTACAAGGACCCTTTCAGACAGTACGAACCATTCATTGCCAATCAAAGGAGGTGCGAAACTACATGTCAACAAGAATGGGATAGAATGGTTGAGAGGGCCAAATCACCGTTGGCGCGACAAATGCTGGCAAATCCCACTATCCTGAATGGGTTCTTACTCAAGCCATTTCAACGGCTGACCAAATACCCGTTGTTGCTCAAGGTTGGTGTATGCTGGATCGCTTGATGATACAAGTGCTAACCTTCCAGGACCTTCAAAACCAAACTCCAGACCAAAGTCTCAAATCGGATTTGACAGACGCTATTGCAATTATCCAAGATGTACTTATGCAAGCTGACGCTTCTATCGACAAAGAGACCCGCGACGACGCGCTACAAGACCTTCAAGAGCGGATCGATGACTGGAAGCAATTGAACATCACGACTTTCGGCGAGATTCTCTTGCTTGGGACATTCAATGTCATGAAAGATAGCGGCAGTCGATCGGACGAGAAAGAATATCACATCTATCTCTTCACCCGCATCTTGATTATGTGCAAAGACGTCAATGCTAATAAGCCCAAGAACAGGTTGGCTAACAACAAACCATCATTGAGTCGAAATGGAAAACCGAAGATGAACTTGAAAGGGCGGATCTACTTCACAAATGTCATCAGTGTGTCGTCCCAGTCAACTCCTGGAAGCTACTCACTACAAATTTCCTGGAAGAATGAGCAAGCAGTGACAGACACGTTTATCATCAAATTCAAGAATGACGATACCTTACAGAAGTGGCACACTATGATTGAGACCCAGCGCTCGTCTTGTATGTTGGAATCCCGACACACGGGGACAACGTCCGATACTCAGCTCCTTTCACTGCAAGGGATGAACATGGAGAATCCTTACCTGAATCAGGAAGAGGACGACGATTACAGCAGACTGTCCGGTACGACATACGGAGGAACTGACGCGACAGGATACTCGGAGTTCAGCATGAGTAGGAATGCTTCAAGTACAAGTTTGCGGTCGCGATCGGCAACAGGTGGTAGTGGCGGGAGCAATCCACATTTGTCGGCTGGCCGTATGCGGGTGCCCACGAATGACATGGGGGGGTTGTCACTGAACACTCGAGGACTGCCTGTACAGTCTCCTCAAGACTCTTATGGTGGCTCATATTTCTCTCCAATCGAGCGAGATTCAACATCGCAATCGACAATGTCGGCGCGGTCAAGCTCGCAATCGGCATTTTCTGGTTACCACCGAGGTGCGACTCCTGTAAGCGGGGGTGGCCAGCGACCTGAGGATTCGTACAGGAACACTGCGCCCGCGATGGCCCGAAACGCCAATGGCCATGTGAATGGAAATCCCTACTTGGTGAACGGGCGGAATCGAGGGCCACCACAAGGTCCAGGGATGCCTCCCCCGCGCATGAGGTCGGCAAGCAGTCCGGATGTGCATCCCATGGTACAGCAGAGCCGCAAATATGTGTCTGGTGAACATGCACCAAGCGTGCCTCCTATCCCGGCACATATGGCGAAGCAAATGGCTCCTCCTTCCAGGAGCCAGAACAATTCTCCGAATAATGCTCCGCCATCGAGGGGAGGAACACCACAATATGGCTTGCCCCAGGGACCCCGTCCCGGGATGCAGAGTCACGGGTATACGTACGACAATTCTTATGCAAACGAGGCCAGACGACCCGGACATGCACCATCATTGTCGCAAGGCCGCACCTTTTCCCCTCCCGTATCATCACCTTCGAGCGACGGGGACGGGTACATACCAAGCCAGCTGAAGGCAAAGGTATGCTTTGATGAGAATTATGTCTCAATGATCATTGCCAGCAACATTCAATTCCGATCGCTCGCTGATCGCATTGACGCAAAATTGGCAAGATTCACGAATCACTCGATTGCCTCGGGGTCCGTACGATTACGCTACCGAGACGAGGACGGTGACTTCATTTTGATTGACAGTGATGAGGCAGTACATGAAGCACTACTTGATTGGCGTGAGACACATCCTGCAAATGCGGTCAATTCACAAAATGCCGAATTATTGCTGTATGCACATGCAGGAACGAGCGAGGCAGCATCAGGATGAAGAAGCCATACGGTAAGATAAGACCTCCGAATATGGCAAAGGATTGTTGCTACCCTGAGGTCTCACCAACCAACACAGTGTTGCTGGTGATTCCAAATACGGCAGGCGAACAGTTGTCTCGACGCAGAAGACGTGGAGAACAACACGAAACATGAGCCAGTCCCAGTTCCACGCTAAAAGAGACGGGTACATACAAGATCGACCGCTGCCAGAATACATTGACATGAGTTACGAAGTGATGGGTTATGAAGTTGGATAAGGATAAGAACATGGAATGTGGCGCCTCAAGAAGGGCATTTTTGGAGTGCAGGCGGAAGTCTTGTCTGGTTTTCGGGACAAAGATGCACTTGGCTGTGATATGCAATGAATGGACTATATTGATACCTTACACTCGATGTCGAGAACCGACAGAATATAAACCGCATTGGTCTACAGTGGGGAGGTACGAGGTTCGTTGTGAGCAAAGGAGAATCTGACAATATAGTATCCTTTGAGAATCAGTTGCTGCTGAAATTGAGGTTCCATTAAAGCGTCTGGAATTATGTGAATCGCTCGACCACCAGCAAGGCATTGTAGACTTCATTTCCCGGTACTGGTCATCCTTTACATCTATACATATTCATATCCTTCCAAGGTAGTAGAGGCCATTGCGTGAGTGACTCGTTTAGGCGCAGTCGACTACTTCATATGTTCTTGGCGGCACTTTGACTCCGATCTCGCAAGGCTTCAGATTAAGCTGTTTCTCTTGTCCTCCCTTGTCGACAACTACTGTACATCTCTCTCTCTCTCTCTGAGCATCTCTTTCAATCCAGTCTTCTCTTTGTTCCACCGGGAGGCCAATAACGGAGAACCAATATGTCCGCCACATCGCCTCCCAACCCACCACGCGGAGCTCCGGATTCGGCAGTGATGAAAGCCCGGATCATATCACACATGAACAGCGACCACGCCCTGTCGCTGCGCCTGTATCTCATGCGGTACTGTCACGTCCCGCTCCCCGGGACCAGCACGGCGCAAATGCTAGACATCACGTCGGAACATATGATCATCACATCGAGTTATGGCCGGCACGTCGTCCCGCTCGAGCCGCCCATGAAGTCACTCATGGAAGCCCGCGAGAGGCTCGTGGCGATGCACAATGACTGCCTTTCCGAGCTGGGTCTTTCGGATGTCGTGCTGGATCGATATGTCCCGCCGGACCGAGCCTGGCAGTGGGCGCTCAGTGCGTTGTGCGCGTTGATTTTCGCCACGTTCCCGTTCCGCGAGAGTTTGCTGCCGGAGTCGGGCAGTGTCATCGCACGGATTTGGAGTCTCGGGGGCGCGGTGCCGGGACTGGCGAGGCTGAGTTACACTCTCCAGCCGTTCGTGCTGGCCGTCATGGTGGTGCTGCATGTCGGTGAGACGGCGTGGTTGGCAAACACGCGGTTGAAGAGGTATTGGGTCGAGGTGGGCACGGCCGTGTGGTGGCTCTGGGTGCTGGATTGTGCGTTGGAGGGTGTCGGGTGTCTGAGTCGATTCGATAGGATTGTAAGCCGGTTAGAGGCGGAGAAGAAGCATTGATCTGCCAGTATTTCAGAACGGGAGAGTTGCGGTTGTTGAGTTTAAGTCGCCACAGTGGGAGAGGGGGACTTTGTTGGGCGGTACACGGTGGACACACAGAGTTTTGGGCATGGTAGTGCTGGATACGAGAGAATTTTTTGGTGACTGAGTATGGGCAATAGCTGTTCAGGGGTTCAGCATGCTAGTGAATCACTTGCTGAAGCGAGGTTGTGATTGTGAGAATATAAGAGGATGAGCATGAGCATGAGCATGAGACACGATCAGCAGATGGCGAGATTCATGGATATTCCATCTTCATATAGCAATGAACGAGCGAGCCAGGAGTTTTGCAGGGCTCGGATAGAACGACCAGGGCCAAAGACAGAAAACAATTCCATTCGCTTCATGCAGCTCCTATTATTACACTGACAATATCGCCGGAGAGGCACATTCCCCCTTGCCAGCTGCTCAGATTTGCGCCGCCATTGTCCCTGTTCGAATGCTTCACTTTTCGCAGCTTTGACCAAATCAGTGCCTCACGCCATGCCGTCGCTCAATGCAATCATGGTACACTTCCTCCGCTCTATTCAATCTATCGTCTCGGAGACCTTGGGGTCGGTGTCTGAGAAGCTTTTCGTCTTTGCGCAGCATCGTCACCGAGATAATCATCAGCAAAGTCGGCCTCTCTTTCGTCATCCGAATCGTCATCGATCCGTGACTGTTCGAGGGCTTCAGCCGTGTTGTCGAATTCGACGGATTCGCGGATGGACTCGCTCATGATAGATTCTTCCAAACTGTCCCTCGACATGAAACTATCGCCCAGTTCATTGTCGGATTCGACTTCCGCTTCCTCTTCTTCCTCCTCGGATTCCTCCTCTTCCGCTTCAGAATCTGTCGGCGTAAAATTTTCCAAATCCTGCGGCAAATCCCGCCAATAGGTGAAGTCGGTATAGTCCTCGCCACCTTCTTTGACAAGCGTCGAGACGGGAGGGAAAAAGTGGTCCACTACCTCACGCATGGTCACGTAGCTGCTGCGGTATTTGTTCAGGGTCAATAAGTCTAATGAGACCTCGGCGTTGGTGTTGATGGTGAAAATTCGAGTCGAAGGTATGTGAACACTTCGATAACTCAGTGCGTCAGTGAATCTGTTGCCAAAACCGGCATAGAACGGATTCGTCCTTCCTGGGAAAAGGCCCAATATATCTCGCAGACAGGCCATCTTGAAGACCTCTGGTTTTCGCAGGTAGACTTCCCGTCGTAACGCTGCTATTGTCCGATCGGGACTCAGTATCACAGGACCTTCGGGCAACCTCCAGCCGTCCTGGACAATACCGTTCAGGTATGCTCGAGTGGTATCGGCTTGACCAACCGAGCGACTCGTTAGGTATAGAATGTTGTAACCATTGGCTACAATGTCGGAATACAGTTTCGCAACTCCGGCATGCGTCCAGTCTCGGCCCACCATGTTCAGCAAGTGACCCAATGCATCGGACTTTGTGATGGTGCCATCAATATCAGAGATCACAATTGGGACATCCGACGTCCAGTAGTACATGTATGCTGTGCAGGTGGCGCGGTTGACAGTAAAGGAGATTTGATTTTTGCCAGACTTCAGATTGAGCGCTTTGAGCTGGTCACTCGTCAGGCGGAGAGTTTTTGCAAAGTTGCGGCCCTGGTCTACCGACATGCGAGGGCTTGGGGTGATCTCTTCGGATTGTGCCCTTTGATGGCCAAGGGTTGAAGCTTTGCCGAGTATCTCCGGTGATGCACTTCTGTCACTATCACTGTGATAACCGGGATCAGAAGCATTATCCAGGGAGACCGGAGGGGCTCCCTCGAGCACACTACCCGACGCTTTCCGAAGAGCCGCATCTCGAGCCTCTTCACTGCTGTATATCCAGAGGTTGCCGTTCTCGTCGGTACCGATCAGAGAGCCGATATCGTAGTTTCCCTCTAGCTCCTCCGACAGCAGCTTGCGTGCAACAGCCTCAGCGCGAAGTGCTTCATCTTCACTGGACTTATAACCAGTCATGTCGAGCATGAGATCTCCGGACTCGGTGACCTGAGATCGAATGTTGGAAATGGACAGCTTTTTGGACAGAGTCATTGCGCGGTCGTATGCTTCCTTTGGCCTCAATGAGGGCGGACTGCCGGGGGCTTTTGGAGTGGTGGAGCCATCGAGGTTGAACTTTGGCGGAAGCAATATGCCATTATGAAGAAATGAGTCACTGACGGAGTCAAGCTCTTGCCGTGTTGCTACAGGGAGAAGCTCTTCGGACGCAGAACGTGCTAACGCCAAAGGAGCAGTCGATGCCCTGTCGGACGCAGGTATTCCGGAAAGGTCGATTTTAGAGGACGGGAGTGATTGGAGGATATTCTGGTCGCTAAGATTTGTTCCTTGACGTCTGATCTGGGGAATTGGGCGACCTGACATAGGCTCTGGAGATTGGCGGTCTTTCTCGGGTTCTGTTATATCGAGAAAGGTGGGTTCCGACAGACCAGGTGACGGCGGTCGACCTTCGGCGGAAACTGGAGGACTGCTAGCGGGTGATATGAGAGGCGAAGTTTGTAAACCTTCGGGAATTTCACTAGAGGTTTCAAAGACAAAGAAGGCCTCTCCGCCATCACCCAGTTTCATAGCGTAATTTTGCTTGGCCCCATTGACTTTGAATTCGACCTTCTTATCAGAAGGTCGCAGTAAGGAAAATTTGCCGAATCGGACATGGAAAGGAGAACATGCCAGAGTGCCATCTTCTTGCTCGACGACTATAACATCGATAGCACCAGAGAGTGTGGCAGGATTGATGGAATTCCAGGTCTTGGAGACACCGTTCCCCAAGCTTCGAACGTATTGCATCGTGTACCAATCGTATGGCACAGTTGTTTGAGGATGCCAAAGGTGGTAGAGACGGCCGGTTCTGGCTATGAAGTGCACATGACTGGGTTGCCTGATCTGATGACAGACGACGTCAAAGGCTTGGAGCAAGACTTGAGGAACAGACAACGCCGAATGCCAATAATAGTACAGAAAGAAGGACGGTACTTGAGGCAGGTTACATGTCCAGATATCTCAGACTAGCACATGCAAGATGAAGCGATGGACGAAGAAAAATGATGGGGAGATATTCGGCATAACAAGGAGGACGTCGGAAGCAACAAGATGATGTGGATGATGCATGTGTTGGATGCTCAACCACTTTTAGTAGCCTCGGCTGACCATTCTATTTATGGTCCGGACGGAAACTCTCTAATGCCTCCTCTAGTGCAGCCCTAAGTTTCTTTAGAGAGCCACCGAGCCACATATCATGTCTAATTGCTTTCCCCGGATTCCCTGCGCAGACAAATCGACCCGGCTATACTACAGTACTTCATTAACATCGCACTCCCACAGATCCGTCTTCGACCCTTTTTTCCTGGACGCCTCTCCCTTGTACCGGTGCCTTACTCTCCATGATGGACACTCACTAGCGATAAGAGACCAGTCTCACGCGACTATCGGAAATCGTTCGTCACCAGATTGTTCGTCACCAAATACATCATCCCAAGCGTCTCTGGCCAGGTTTGCGCTTATCAGCACTCCCACTACGTGACCTGAGGGCCACTTACCCTCTCTCTGTTGCTACCATGAGCTCTCCTGCAAATCCTCCAGGTCCTTTGACACCACCTGCAGAACCATCGTCACAGGGACCGCAACCTCCACAATCCTCCGGAACCGTAGCACAGCCACAAGTCGAAGCCCTTCTCTCCCAACCTCTGACCTCGCTATCAGACGATGGAACGTCTAGAAGACCTCGAGATCATCGATTAATACACCTTCTTCTGGTATCGCACGGCATCTCCGCATATCAGCAGCGGGTGCCTCTGCAATTGATGGACTTTGCCTACAGATACACAAGTTCGGTGTTAAGCGATGCCCTTCACATTCAAAACGAGGCATACGATCAGGCAGATGGCGGTGCGCAGACCAAGGGACGCGGAGCTAGACAAAATCAAGCCAAAGCCGAGGAGGGTGATGTGAGCCTGGCTGCACTACGCATGTCAATAGGCTCACGAATGGGATACCAATTTCAAGGCAGTCTACCCAAGGACTTTCTCAAGAATCTGGCAGATGAGCGAAACAGAATATCTCTGGGCGCGCAGTCGAGAGACAATGAGAGGAGCGGTCCGATCATTGGCGGCGTCCGCTTACCCCACGAGAAATACTGTTTGACTGGCTTGGGCTGGGGACTAAAGGATGAATGGGACAGTGAGGGAGAAGAGAGCATCGATGAAGTACAACCAGAGGAGCGACCAGAACCCGAAGATCTCATGCAGATGGATGAGCAAGGCGATGAAGATGAGGAAGGACTGGGCACCATGGAGGATGTCTTTGGTGATGACGATGTTGGGGGCGACGACGACGGAGACGCTGAAATGCAAGGCTAGGAGAGCAGCAGGACATTTTTAGTCTTCCGGCTGCTAAGAAGATACATTGTGATACCCAGGATAGACGACGGCTACGTAGCATTGTATGATATGGATGGCATGATCTTTTTTTTGTCTGCGTCTTCGGTACTTCGACAGAATTCAGTCGAAAGTGGAAATTCACAAGTCCTGCTAATGCCCCCAGAAATCAACACAGGATACTTTCGAGGATTGCTGCATTAGTAGACGTCGTCTCTGTGAGTTGGTTGCATAGATGCCAAGGCTGCCGGCATCTGGAAAATTAAGAGAGGAGGTCATTGCCCCCATCGCAACTGCGGAACCGGGCGGCCACCCAAGTCGGTTCATAGAGTGGCACTGACACTGACGGGAAAAGCCTCCTAACACTCCAAAACATATCTTGCGTGTCTTTTGCTATTTGCTTCTTTTATACTTACATGTTATCCTTTGGAGCGTATGCCTGCCATACCACCGTTGTGGATGGACTCATCTAGATGGCGCTCCGAGCCGGTCGACTGGGCTACTTATGCCTATCAATTGCTGGCCCCGAGAGTTAACGTCAAGGGTCGCATGGCTCTGGTTATGCTGTTGGCCGTCATATGGGCTTTCTCATGGTAGACACCCTCCTCGTCGGTCAGATGTAACCGCCGCTGACAACTTCCAGGCTCCTATGGCGTGCCTACTCCGTCCTGACCACTCCGAACGATGTCCTAGTAGAGAAACTCGGTCTCGATATCCCTCCAACTCCGCTCATTACCCTCGAAGACATCTCCGACCGCGAGCTTCACATCACCTGGAAGTATTCGGAGCCCTCGACTTCTGTACAAGAGCACCATGTCGAGGTCAATGGCAGGATTGTTGGGACAACAAGAAAACACGACATGGGCGCGGCTATCTACGACCTTACTCCAGGCAGCATCTATGATATCCGTGTCTTTTGTGTCAGTTCCACGAGCTTCCAGACACCTAGCAGTCCCCTGCATGTTCGCATGCCCGGGTCTCACTCGAATGCCCCCCCAGATGAATCGGACTCTGTCCCCAAGGTCAGAGCCATTCTAGTACGAAATACCACGACGCTTGCACCAGTCTCTGCACCTACTATGATCCGAGAGTTCAGTGGCGGGCAACCGACGGCGCGGAGAGGAACAACTGGACGGAGACCTTCGCCCGCGAATCACGCCGTTGATTCTCAGCAGGCTCAAGATCCCGCGTCGAGAGGCGCGGATGAAGAGGCGGACGGCAATCTTGCAGAACTGTCACAACGGTTTCAAAAGGTCCAGCAAGACATTGAAGCGATGGAATTACAGATTCAAGAGGAGGATAGAGAATTTGACAACGCACTAAAAGAACTCGAGGCCAGACGGGACGAGTTGAGGCAAAGCCTGAAGGAACGGGACGAAGCAAGCAATGATCTGCGCAAGCAGGTTCACAAAGCCGAAACTGCTAGCAGAACTGCTCAGAGCGAGAAGACGAAGAAAGAGCGGCTATTGCAGCAAAAAGAAAATCAAAGAAGGAAACGCCGAGATGAAATTGCCAAATGGGAGGATCAGACTGCCTGGATGATGAAGGAGATTGCTGGTATTGAGACCCAGAAAGCTGCTATTGAGCATAGGGCGCAATCCGACCTTAGAGAGATTCGTAAGAAGGTCGAGGAGGAGCAGAAAGAGGTTGCAATGCTGGAGGAAGACAACAAGGAGAAGGCTTTGCAAATCAAGTCCATGGAAGAAGAGCGCCAGCAGGTGAATGTCGAGGATGAAACAGACGAAACTCGAGAGGCCGATCGACTGGAGCGTGAGCGCGACTTGAGATGGAGAGCGAGGTACGACAGCCTACAGCAAACTTATGCGCGGCTGTGGCACGATTTGCACAACATCAATCAGCAGGTTAAGTTCACGCAGGAGCAAATCAAGACAAATGAAGCGAACAGAGCCAACACGGTGTCATTTGCGCCAGTAGCTCCTTTCGATCCTGAAGCTTTTCGACGAAGCATGCGTCCTATACGGCGACCACGGCATACCAGTTCTCACGGGAGTAGCATTTCCTCGCCTCGGGGCCTGTTCGCTGGTCCGGAGCCTTTTCCAGCTGCGTTGCATTATACAGCAGTCACTAATGCATCACCTACGACTATTGTGCCAAATTATTTCAATCCGCAGAACGGAATGACCCTGAGCATGCCATCGGACATCACGGCGTCTACTGCTGACGACATCGAGCCCGTCACGAGCGTTCCAATGAGTCCTAGAGCGGACTTGCTGTTACCTGCTGATCTACTTGGAGACGAATCTGCAGATGAGCTACTGGACACTGATCTTGAAACCGGCCCAACAGCAGGATCCGATTCAGGAACGGCACCTTTCCCCAAGATAGGTCCTCCAGCGTTGCAGGAAGATATTCGCCGTACAGAAACGCCGTCTGCCGGGTCATCGTCAGGCCGATCGTTCTCCAGTCCCATGCAAACCTCTGCGCCGGTCCTCGATACTGAGAAGTCATCAGACTCGGGCAAGAAATATGACGAGAAGGCTGATGAGACCGAGGAAGAAGCCCCTCAGCAAACGACAAAGCCAAAATATATGTCAATGTCTTCCATGTTTGGGCTCAACAGGCAGCGTGGGAAGACTTTCGCCGATCAGCCACCACTGCTCGGGTCTCTGAAGTCAGGCCAAAGTCAGTCATATCCTCGAGAAATGGACGAGTTCGATGCCACAGCACAGCCGAGGAGACGTCTGAGCTACGGTGGAAATTGGGCCCTTCCTGGGACACTTCTGCGAGGAAATGGTTCAGAAGAAAAGGTGTCCGAGCCTTCACGCTTCGCATCAGCGCGTCGTGCTTTTGGATTCCCTGGATTCGGCAAATCGGCAGCTGCATCTGGAGCGTATGACCCCTTCGCACCAAGGACGGGCTCATTCGATCCTGGGCTTCGTGGAGACACATCCTCTCCTCGACCATCATCTACTTACTCGTTCGACAAGTTGCCTCGTCCTTCCTTGGAAGCTCAGTTCAACGCGTGGAATCCGGAGAAGTCAGCGATGCGAAACAGTCCGCTTGCTCCGGACTGGGGTTCGTTCCAGTCCTTTTCACGAAACCACTCGCGTCGCCCGTCCGTGGTGCATGCTTCTACCAGTAATCTCTCGCTGCCAAAGAATGAATCCATAATCATCGAGCCAGAAAGGAAACCCATACGTCCTATGCAGGCGCCCATCGGTACACGGCCAGCATCATCACAACAAGCCTCGACACCGAAACTCAACCCTGCTGCGCCATCATTTACCACGTTGTTTAGCAGGAGAAGTGAGAAGATTAAAGAGAAGTCCAAGTCCAAAGAGTCCAAGGAGAGATTGACAGATCCTGAGGCAACTTCGCCGGCCGAGTCACGGAAGTCCAAGGATACTAGTTCTCTGGCCGCGACAATCTCGACTGTGGACTCTGATACTCTTGACCGCACTGTGTCTGGGACCAGCGCCAACTTGTCAATGGAGAGCACGCCTGTCAAACCAACATTCATCTCCAAGATCACCAGAAAAGCCAGCAGCAATAAGTTTGGAAGTTGGAAGGAGAAAGGCGGAGGTCTCTTCTCAAGAAAAGAAGCATCTGCACCAAATGGTGAGAATGAGGAGGAGCAAGGATCAAGCGAGCAACTTCATCTTGGGAGGAGCTTGGAGAGTACCTCGACTACTCCCAGCGCGGAGGAGAAGAAGACCAGCAGGACCAGCCTGAGCAACTGGAACTTTATGCGTAAGAGCAAAAAGGGGACAAGAGAGGATCTGACTGCGAGTGAGATTAGTGAGAGTAGTGAGCGAGCCAGCGAGACTGGAGAGGAAAGGGAAGATGATGATGCATGAACAGAATGAGTTATAAGGATATATTCGTCACTTGCCCGTACAGTCTGATATTAAAACGTCGTTGGCGGCGTGGTTGCGTTTTGTACCTGATGGTTCAATAGTGAAACCGCTCTACGCATGTGTAGTGTGTGGTGGCCGTGCTTACTTGACTCATTTCACGTGGGTTGTCAGCTTCTTTTTTCCTTCGAGGATGTCACTTTTGCTGAAGGATTCGTATCAGATACTTGTTTCTGGATTTCGGATTCCTACTCTATGCACAGAATGGTGAATTCTCTACTCCGTAATACAATTCCAAAGACGGTCGTGGACTCATCAGCACATGGCGAATTCAAAGTATGTAGCGACCTCTGTCAAGCTCTGGCGAGCTGGGTCGTACGAGTACGGCCTTCTAATGCAACGACAGATATGAATATGTGCGCAACTTCGAGCGCGACGAGCACTTACTGCCGAACACATGGATTGTCGTGAGAATTGATGGTCGAGGATTTCATAAGTATGCAGATGTCAATATCTTTTTCCCCCTTCAATCGGTTGCTACCACGGTCAACGATGTCTGCTGATTTGGCCGTCCTTCGTCCAGATTGTCGAACCATTATGGCTTTGGCAAACCCAACGACATCCGCGCACTGAATTTGATGAATCTAGCCGCCACGCGAGTCGTGACATCGATCCCCGAGATCGTCCTGGCCTACGGTATCTCGGATGAGTACAGCTTCGTGTTTCACAAGTCGATGAATCTGTTTGAACGAAGGAATGCGAAACTCGTGAGTACTGTCGTCAGCACTTTCACGGCTGCGTACGTCGCGCTGTGGCCCACGGCGTTCCAGAGTGGCAGTGCGTGGGAAGATGGGACTGCCGCATCTCTGGATGTCGCGATGCTGCCTACTTTCGATGGAAGAGTGGTGTGTTATCCGTCATGGGAGAATTTAAGAGACTACCTGAGCTGGAGGCAGGTTGACTGTACGTTTCCTTCCTGTTGCTATTCCTTATCGTCTCTAAAGGCATACTCGTCTTCTGTCTTCTCTTTTCAGTCGCTTTCTCCTTCCGGCCAGCGATAAGCTGATCGACACGTCTTGCAAACATGACAGGCCACATCAATAATCTCTACAACACGACGTTCTGGGCACTAGTGCAGAATGGCGGAATGTCGCATACCGAAGCCGAGGAATTCCTCAAGGGCACCGTGTCGGGCGACAAGAATGAGATCCTCTGGTCGCGGTTCGGGATCAATTACAACAACGAACCGGAGATGTGTCGCAAAGGAAGTGTCATCTACAGGGACTACGCGCTCGAGACAACGGCCACGATAGGTGAGCCGAAAGGCGATGAAGGGGACGAGGTCTGGCGAGGCATCGAACAGCCTGGGTCGAAGACGCAAGCAGAGAAGATGCGCAAAATTCGGCAAAAGGCGAGAGTCGTGACAAGGCATGTCGATATCATCAGAGACGAGTTTTGGGTGCAGAGGCCGTGGATCAGGAGTGGGAAGCCGGGCAAACCACCCGAGCAGGACTTAGAGAGTTGACAACGGCGGCATCGTTTGGAGTCGGAACCGGACTGGACGATGAGTATCATAGAAGGGCATGTTTGGTCATCAATTGGCGTACATCTCATATCAAACAGAAAAGCAGCCTCATCAGCTCTGTGCAGCTTTCGCGGTCTTGTCAGCTTTCCTCCTCTTCCGCTCTGCACGTCGAGCAGCCTTCGTAGCAGCGTCTTCAGTCTCAGCAGATTCCGACTGATGCCCATCGACTTGAGCCGCCAACTGCTTTTGCCTATCTTTCTCCTCCTTCCTCCTTCGCCTCCGCTCTCGTCTCTCTTCCTTGGTCTCGGCCTTTTCAGGCTGCTCCTCGTCTTCGGCGGCAGGTGTGCGCACTCCCGACGGCTGCGCCTCAGATTTGCGCTTTCTTTTCTTCGTCTCCGACCGTGCCTCGAGGTACTCGCCCACCTGCTTGAACTCCTCAACGGGGCTCGGTCTCTCTGTCCGTTTCCTCCGCTTCTTATCTTTGTCTCGCAAAGTCATGAATGCGCCTACTTGCTCGAACTCGACGGCTGCTCCTGTTCTTTGCTTTTTTGAGAGGGCATCTTCGTTCGTGTCTTCATCGCCCAACACATCACTCTTCTTCCTCTTAGTGGACGTTCTCATCGAGTCGTCGTCGGCGTCCTCAATCGTGCCTTGCATTTGCTGGCCCTTGATGAAAAAGCTGTAGAGTCCGCTGTGTTTGCCACCACTGGGGTTCGTGATAGGCGTCGACGTGCCGCTGCTCCTTTCGCTCTCGCTCTTGCCAATATTGCCCAGCGCGCTCTCGAAGCCCTTCAGCCACCATTCGTTCCCGGCTTGTGGTTCGTGCGCTTTCTTGCCGACGCCCAGGCGCCCTTGCCGTTGCGAGATCCCCAGCGGTTTGACGAGGCCGGTGCCGGTGTTGCCGACCTTTGCAGGGTCATAGGCCAGGCCGCGGTGGCCTTTTTGCTTGTAGGGTCGTGAGTCGAGCGAGTGGCCCGGTCCTGCCCAGCCGAGGGAGAGGAGGTGTGCGTGGGCGTCCATCGTACTTTGTGTGGAGGCAGGGGGTGAAGGGTTGTGTGAAGCGATGGATCGGGAGGAACGTAGTCTAACTACGCTATCGACATAGTCTCGAGTATGAAATATATCATAACATGTATTCACGGAAGAGATGAGCGCCTTCCACAGATTGCGACTGCGACTGATCGAACTCTCGCAACATTTTTCTGCGGGGATCAAAATATCACAGATACTGTAATTCTTGGGCGGACCGTGCCGTAGCAACCAGGCTAAGCGGTGAGGCTGACATAAGCGACTCTTCGTCCACCCACTTCTAGGACATGAATCCTGCATTAATCCGCGCTGGCCATCGAAACGTCTCTGGGCAGCCCCGCCACGGCCTTCGGTGTGAGTTGACCTCATGAAAGAGACTGTAGACATAGGAGCGGACTATCGAGCGTGAAATGATGCTCGTCAGAGTGGCACCCATGTACGTTCGCAAACCCGATGCCCCAAAACCGCAGTGGTCCGGCCTTGTCACCCGTTTTCCTACATTGAGGGCGTACAGCCGCCGGAAGCGGTGTGACTTTTGGACTTTTGGGAGCGTCTTTACGGGGGGTTCCAGAAGCTTTTCCTCTGCGATTCATTCACACCGTCCAGACGGCTCCAGGAAAATTCGGCGGCTCTTCAAACATGGCGATATCATGTTGCATCTCTGGGAATTTCTGGAAGAATCCGGGCTTCATGGTCCAATTCTTGAAGTTGTATACGTATTCCAGGAATACCTTCGATACCTCGTACCGGTCGGTGACAGGATCATGAACGAAGATGTCGCGATCGGACCATGGCCAGTAGAAGTTGAAGTTCTCGACGAATGCTGCAGAGAAGGACCCTGTGGCAGTGTACTTTTTATGCTCGAAGACAAGACGGTCACGGAGGCCTGGCCTGGGAGAACAGACTGTGAGAACCAATGCAAGGCAATAGGTCGCCCTAGACATACCATATGAGAAAGTCTATGACAGCTGGATGTTGGATCGTTTCTTGAGACGGTCTGCTGGCGTCAGAGGCTTGGGGGATGGTGGCAGTGCGAAGAAAAGACTCACCTCGGTCGGACGAAATGGGGGACTCGAGCTAGATTTTCCCTGGTTGGGTTTTCACGATACTGAATCAACGTCTGACACACATACATGAGGGCAATCCTTTGCGCTTTCGACCTCCATGAGCCGAACACTCTCTGATCGACCTGGCGCAATGCACGCCAAACTGGATGTTGTGCCTCAGAACCCACGTTGTCCCAGCCCCAGATCGCTGCTTTGAAGGGCACATGCAGATCGAGGTGAAGGTTTGATACGGCGCGTTTCTTGACCGAATTGAGGGCGTGAATGAAAGCGCCATTTGATACGTGCCACTTATCCACATCTGGTGCAGTCTTGACTGTCTCCGACGCGGGAAGGCGAAAGTCAAATGGCGAAGGCGTTGCAGGATCCCAAGCATTGGGACTTGTAGTGCCCATCTCAAACATTTCGAGCAGAGCGTCCGGATTGAAGTCAAAGAATGTTTCAAGACCGTTCAGCCCGCCTACCGTGTCCGGCTGACAGAGACCAAGATTGCCCTGGACGACTTCACTCACATCAGAAGCCTCCGTCGACGTTGAATCGTGACGTTTGCCTTGGTTGTTAGGCGCCGATGGGCCCGCATGCTCCAAATCGGTCGGCGAGGTCGACCTAAAGATTTTCCGACAGCTGCAATTCAAGTCTATGCTGCACCCACATGCTTTCCGCGATTTCCGGCCATCGCAGTGGTCCTCCCGCTCCGTGGTAGCGACAGTCTGGTCAACAGCCGTACGGATCTTGACCAAGGCATTACGGAGACGGTGGTTGTCGTTCCGAAGATCGTCGATGATTCGCGTCAGACTGGAAATTTCTCCTTGCTTGTCGCTAGCTTCGAGACTCTGAAGGCGCTGTTCGAGAAATGCAATGCGATTTTTGGTCCTCTCGCGGGTGGCCCGTTGTGCAAGTCGGTCTTGGATCCTCTTTCTCTCAACCCGAGTACCGTCGGTATCTCGCTGACGAGACTTGCTAGTTCGTGGCGTTACAGTCTCCATCTCCAGACTAGAGCCTCAGTAGGCATGACTTGTTGAGCACCTCCGTGGATTCCTGAGCTCGAAATGTGTCCTGACTTCATATCGAAGAGTCAGAAACACGTCCCGGCTAAGAAAGCGGAGTCGGCACATTCGATGGGCAAACATCCGAGGCCAGAGTGAGATGGTTGCATTTCCCCCACCTCCACCTCCGCCTCCGCGTTCGTGGTAACCAGTCTGCAGCCAGGAGATCATGCTATCCAATGGGTTCTGTGCTTCTGAATGCAGCCTCTGAATAAAACGAAAGGTGGCATTAGTGGAACAAGAGGGCTCTTGTCTCATCCTGTGCTCGTAGTCCTCTCGGCCTTCGAGTCGGCGTCTCTAAAGAGGATAACAACAAGTTTTGCGATACGATATAGCGTCTACCTCATGGATCAGGGACAAAACAATTCTCGTATGCATCTTACACCTACCTACCTATATAGTCCACCTTGAACACCTACTCTATAGCAAGGTAAAGGAGTTGTCCACCTCGATTAGGACTTGTGCCACTTATTATGGCGGCATTTTCGGTTAAAGCAGCAGATATTAAGTTGGCCAGATCGCGGGGGTCATCTACGGTGCGTACTACGATAGGGATTAAGGTGACTGATCCGCCAATCGTTTCCTCCATAAAGCGGCCACGATGAATGATTAACGAGCATCTATCAACGCTTCCAAAGCAAACCCCAGCATATTTTCTCATGCTACCACACCAATGCCCTCAATTCCAGGTCCAGCGACCGAGGGATCAAAGACATGGTCGCCTTCGCGCCTGCGTGACGGCGACGACCTAGAGGTATGGTCCAAGATCCACGGCCATCTCAATGCGCACGAGTTCAGAGCGGCAATAACCACCGCCTTCGACCTACCTCCGGGCGACAACTTCACATATCACGCCTCGGCATCCGTGAACCTGTCACAGGTCGAGGCTGCAATCCACGCTGGGAGGGCGAACGGCCTGCATGCTTGGTATGTCGAGCTAGCCCCAGAGCCTCGAGAAGGCCAGGGAGACGGGGACGTTTGCGGAATCGTCCCAGGTCAACCGTCACTACGGATAGCAGGCTATCCGCCGGCAGGAGACATACAGGCATACATGGCCTTGTTCGACCCTACCAAGTCTGCAGCGAACAGTCTGAAATCACTCTCTGCGAACGCGAAGAAAGGTTCTCTGCGTGCCACGATCGCGGAATACTTGCTCAGCAAACGATATCTTGACTCGTCCGTTACTGTGCCCAAGTTCAAAATTCCTTCCTCAACATCATCGCAACCACAAAACGGCGCCAAAAGTGTAGCGACCATAGGCCATCAGAACCCGGCCTTGGACTTCTGGGCCTACTTATGTCTTGCCTTGGAGTACGCGGGTCCCAACGCAAACACCGCCCTGGTCAAATCCTCGCACCACATGCTGCCTGTCTACATGCACCATTTCGGCTGTGTGGTGCCGTCGTACGAGTCTCTGCAGATCATCAACAAGCTCGCCGCGGGCCGAAATGTGCTCGACATGGGTAGCGGCAACGGGTACTGGACGTTCATGCTGAGGCGGTTGGGAGTCAATGTCGTCGCCGTGGACAGCGGCCAGAGTCGATGGCGAACGACGTGGATCGCAGACACGGTCGCCACGGACGGCGTACAGTACCTGCGCAAACGGTCAGGTTGTCCTGATCATATGCTCCTGCTGGTCTACCCGATCGTCGGTGGCGACTTCACACGCAAGGTCCTTGATGCTTTCACCGGGAACGTCATCGTCGTGGCCGGCACCCAGAATGGCAATGGATATACGGGCTTCAAGGATATGATGGTCGATGAGTACATGGCTAGAGAGAAGCCGAGCTGGGAGAAAGTGGCTCAGGTACCGCTCCCGAGTTTCGCGGGGAAAGACGATGCGCTGTTTGCCTTTAGACGGAACAAGGAGGGCCCTTGATCAGCATTTTTCTTGCTACGAGTAGCAGCAAGCAGGGCAGAGGACTGTGCCTAAGCCAGCTCGACATTCCAGCTTTGATCCAGATGGCATGTAGGTATTATGTCTCGTGTCGGACGTCGTTTCGAGCATCGGCTCAGGCCTAAACGGAAAAGCACATGAATCACAATAATACCGAGCAAAGTCTGAGTTGTGCCATTAATTGTTGGTACATAATCCCCCGTCTAATCTAGATAAGTGCTTTTTCATGCAATCATGCCTCGTGCAGATCTATCTTCTGCAAAAGGCTCTATGGGGATGCACATTCTGCAAAGCAATCTCCATGGGTCGTCCATGTCCACCGTTGATTTTTTTATTCAGAAAACGAGACCGGCAAGGACCTCCCAAGTCTAAAAAGATTGCTCTGAATTGTATTGCTAAGCATCTGCTCCAACCACATGTGAACGAGAAAGGGACGTAATCGAAACCGTACTCCGAGGGATCAGTCGCTGAATATCGTCTTCGAATCGTTTATTTGGCAATTTCGACGCCACCAGTCTAATGAAAGAGTTAGCACAGTCGCTCCAGACATCGGAGGGAAAATTCTTACAGCTCCAAGTACTCGCTTAATGTCACCGTAGATGGCGAATTGACCAGCGGTCAAAGTACCAACCATGAAGAGACGAGCACCAATACCGGCATAGCTGCCACGGAAACCCAGCTCCTTTGCGATCTTGACCAGACGGCTAGTTGTGCTCTCACCAGGGAGACCCTTTGTCTTGTTGATCTTGGACAGCATAGTATCGGCAGGTTGGGAGACGAGGGCAGCAGCGAAACCGGCGATCAGACCAGATCCCAAGTTGATGACGGTCTTGGTACCGTCGGAAGCAGTGTTCTTGTCAACGTTTCGGTAGATGGCCTCGGCAACCTTCTCGTAGACGACGAACTTGGCCATGGTGTATGGGACTTGCTTGAACAGGATAGGACCGAAACCGCTGTAGAAAGCACCAAGACCCTCGGTCCTTGCGATCTTGCTGAAACCAGAGACGAGACCGGAAGCGAAGGTGGGTTCGGAGACGAGACGGATACGGGTAGCCTCAAGAGGGCAGAGGGCAATGTCGGCAAAGAATTCGGCGCAAGCGGAGGAAGCGAGGTAGACGGCGGTTCTGTTGTTGGCGGCCGTCTCGTAGCCGAAGGTGTTGATGCACTGTTGCTTGAAGAATTCGTAACCTCCGAACTTGAAGGCACCCTGCAGGAAATAACCTGCAAAGGTTGGGCCAATACCGGTCAGAAGAGCGCCTGCGCCCTCATTTGCAATGACTTTTCGGAAGCCTCCAATCATGCCAGTGTTGTATGTGACGGGGTCGAGCTGGATTCTCGTCTTGACGCTGAGTACGTAGTCAGCGCGTGGTTGCGGGACAAGAGGTCAGACGCTTGAAAGGCACTTACACATCGACGGGAGTGAGGCCACCGTGAGTAACGGCGCAGCAGACAGCACCAGCAAAGGCCTAAATTAATCGGTCAGTAGCCGACTTGACATTGTGATGGAGCTCACTCACGAATCTGCTGTAGAGTGCGACACCGGAGAGCTTCTGAGGCTCGTTGGCCTTAGCAGTCTGAACCACAGCATCGAGCTTGGTCGAGCCGGTCGAGGAAGGAGGAAGTGTAGCAGCCATTGCGAAAGAGTGGAGATGATGCAGAAGACGAAGAGCAGGAAATCTAGTCTAGCGGGAGGAAAGACAAGACGTGAAGAAGCGACGACGACAAGGACGAAATCTTTGGGTCTTGGGATGGATTGGATTTGAAAAAGGGATTGATGGAGTTACAGCTCGCAGTTCTCGCAGTTTTCAGGCCGTGAATTGAGCCGAGAGCCGTTTCCGGGCAAAATCGGGAGGAGCTAAAAGAAAAAAATATTCCCAACCCGATTGATCGATCGGCGCCCGGAACCGTGGCTAGTGAGGCTCACCAGGCATGGGTCATGGACTCATGGGTGTGCCGATAAGTGGGAGGACGGCCTGGTTGGCCTGTACCATAAGGATGCCATCCAATTATCTAATCACGTGGCGGCTCATTGGCTCTCTGGATCCTCCCTCAGCCTCCCCTTCCATTCATCCATTCTGACTCTTAAAGAGGCGTGACTTTCTTCCGTGAACGTGAGTGAGGCAGGAATAAGAATATGCGTTAGATAACCACGTCCAAGCAGCGGCAGGAGTCTTGAGAAGAGGCCTTGATAGTATTCTCAACATGATGACTGCTCCAAGATTCGGCCAGACAATGGGAAGAATGGGCTTACTGCACGCCGATTGGAACATGTCGTTGACCGGTAGCTGAATCTTCTCATGTCCGGCCTCCTGACCGGTAGGCAGAGAATTGCGAGCTCAACAGTCGAAGCAGGAGGTCCAGCATCGATGCGGATATCCGAGGCTAAAACACTCAGGTTGGCGCAGGATCGCCGACAAGGGTCGCACAGCGTAGACTTGAGGAGCCCAGTGTGTGAGGCTTGAGCACAGAAGTACAGTGGTCAGCTCATAGCAAAAGCAACGAATGTCCGGCTACAAGGCCATGCTCGGAGGGCCATCAACCGCAAATCCGGAAAATGTCCAGCATCCTTGAGGAGCAATGTGCACATTGCTGGTCGAGCAGGAATAGGAACCTACTAATATCAGCACCAGCAACAAAGGCAAGCGGACTTGTTTCAAAGGGTCAGTCCTGCCACGAAGGTTCGACCGAACGACGCATGCTTTCTCTTTCTGTGGCCATTCGTGCTGCACGGTACGGCCCACCTTTAAGAACGCAAAGAAGAACCTCGTAGGCAATTGCGTTTGGCGAAAGCTTGGTAAGAGACGCAGGGACTGGATGTTGAGAGGGTCGAAGGGTCGAGTTTGATGACCCGAGCGAAGAAAAGCACAACTTTCCCCAGCGGCATGTACCTGCCATCTAGATGCCTGCCAGCAACGTAAGCCTGGACCGAAGTCTGTTCGGGTACCTGCAGAGACGCTGTCCCATGGTTCGTTAACATTTTCGAGACACCCTACTCTGATGAGATCGGCTTAGTACCCTCATGTGCACTGCAGACGATATTAGCGGGTGTTTGTTTACCCCCAGAGGCATATTTCTATGTTGTTAATACTGCAATCTGCGCAATTTCTTATATTGCTTCAATAGCTGTTCCAAAGTAGTTCATCCGTTGCAGATCGCTGCATTTTGCGTAGTCCTTTTGGCCTCTGCGCTGAGGCGTCTGCTCGTGCACTGCAAATTTTGGCAGCCACAGGCGGCACAACAAAATCACCTTGCGCGTGAGTCTGAGCACCATTTGTGTTTACACTCAGACCAGAAGGGGACGCTCCAGCCTGGGTTGAACAGCGCGGACGGTGACCAGGAAAAAGGCGCGCGTGTACTGTCAAGAATAGCGCTATCAGAGTTTTTGAGCTGTCAGGACTGAGACTGACAGCTCTGGTCAGGTCAACAGACCTCTCGACGCGTCGCACAAGTGGGAAGGGAGGATAACAGAAATTTTCCCCTGCGAGGCACAGGCTGTGTGGTCAGTGAGGATAGACTGTTCTCATTGCAGAAAACATGGTGAGATAGATGGTAAATCTGCACTGTGCTGGCTCAGCCCATCATGAGCCAAGTTCGGCCTGCACGTTGTCCGGAGCAGTGGATTTGCCAGCGTTCAAGACAGGTTGAATACTGGTGATGATGGGCCCATGGCCTACAGGTGTTGCTGTCCTTCAACGATTGGAAAATACTAGTAGGTAGTGACAGTAGTCCACTTGCGATGGTACGGAGAGTGCGAAGGGGGAAAGCTCTTTCAGTCGCCGCCGCTTGTATTTGATACGATTACTAGCGCATACAAAGAAATATGGATTCAAATGACAGACTCGTGGTTGGATCTTTTCGTGTCCACAAGTTTGCACAGACACAGGCGGTCCACAAGTCTAGCCAGTGACGACTCCATATTGCTCCAGGCTACGTGTCCGACAGCCTCATCAATTCATGAAGACAGGTCCTGACAGCTGTTGTTCATACGTGCGGCCTCTACGAAAGGGGCAGGGGATTTTCCATGGTAAACCCAGTCCCGTGTTATGATTTTCCATCTACAGCGCTCTCAAAGCCATGTTCTCGGTTGCGAGAGCGAACCAACTAGTTGACATTTCGTGTCCAAGTTGGTCTCTCATTGTTCTTCGACGAAGACATGCGTACTGCCGCAGCAAGCTATCTTGACCATTCCATGCTCAGTAGAGCCATTCCTTCGTCCCATCGTGTATTTCGTAGAACATCACCGCCAAAAGACAAGAAATCGTCCTATAACATAATCACATATCAACGATAATTTCCCATTGTACTGATAATCGCCCGTAGCATGAGGATGCTTCTATTGAACCATCACCAAAGCCCGTGCAGCGCCGTTTGAAAAAAGAAAGAAAGATGCTCCCTTGGACATGCAGAAAGACCCTCCCCATTCCGATCACATCCTCATTAACATCCCGCGTCGGTCCTCTCATACCTTGATCGCTTGACGAGTCTAATGGCGGCGGTGGTGGTAGTACTTGCGACCACCATATTGAATGCCACGGCGGACTGGGGTTGGGGTCGGTCCGTCAGTGTCGAGATCGCCTGAGGGGTCAGCCGAGGTGGTAGTGGTTGGCTCAGCGGTGGTGGTCGTCGGCGCAACGGTGGTTGTAGGAGCGGCAGTAGTTGTGGTCGTCACCTCAGCGGTGGTGGTGGCAGTGGTGAAGGTTGTCGAGGTAGCCGTCGTCGTGGTGCTCGTGGTCTGAACCCGAACAGCGATGAATGTAATTGGAACAGCGCAATCAGGGTAGTCAGGCTCGACGACCTGAATAGTGTTTGAGGAGGTCAAACAGAACTTGCGGTCCTGAAGAGCGAGGTGGTTAGAGGGGTCGCTCAACCAGGTGCTGTACGCAGGTGGAGAAACGAAAGCCTCAAGCAGCTCGTTGTTCGGCGTGGTATCGTCTGCACCGACATATAGCGCATCAGTCATGAGGTGGTGGTCGGCGTCAATGGTAAAGTCGCTGGCATCAGCCTGCGAACCAAGTTGACCGATACCGCCGTCGTTGAAGTTGAGATACAGAGTATCACGTTTCTGGGGTCCCGCAGTGGAGGCGGCAAGCTGGACGGGGTTGGTCACCTCAGGAGCCAAGGTCATCGAGCTAGAGGTGCTGGAGCTCGACGAGCTTGAGCTGCTGGAAGAGCTAGCCATAGCGGCACTAGTGGTGGTGATGCTGGACGAGGTCGAGCTGCTTGACGAGCTGGCCATCATCGCACTAGTGGTGGTGATACTGGCCGAGGTGGAGCTGCTGGACGAGCTTGCGGCAGCGGCACTGGTGGTGGTGATGCTGGCCGAGGTGGAGCTGCTTGACGAGGTTGCAGCAGCGGCACTGCTTGACGAGGTTGCAGCAGCGGCACTGCTTGACGAGCTGCTTGACGAACTTGATGCAGCCGCGCTGGACGAGGTGGATGACGACGAACTTGATGCAGCCGCGCTGGACGAGGTGGATGACGACGAACTTGATGCAGCCGCGCTGGACGAGGTGGATGACGACGA